ATAAACAATTTAATAATTTTTTATGCTAATAAGCATCTTAGAAGAATATTAATAATTTGATGTTAATCTAAACATCTTAAAAACTGTAGGTAGTTAATTAAATTTTTTTGGAGGAGAAATCATATTAATTTTCGAGACGTATCATTTCGTTTCATCAAATACGGTAATTTTCGTATACTCTGAAAAATTCAGAGATACGAGATAACGACTTTTCATGAGGTAGTTCACGATTCGAAATAATTATAAAAAGAATTCTTGTAGTAAATGTCGAAATAAGATTCAATGTGAATACTCCAACGTATATTCTACAATTGTTCGCCACGCCATAATCAGATTTATTATCCCCCGAAAATATAGGACGGGTTAAATTACAGAAACGTGATGTACACGAGGATAATCGCGGCACATTTGTAGTTGTATTAAAAATTTTAATGAAAGCGGAGTAATTTATCACGATCGATGATCACTATCCGAAGGGAACGGTCAGTTTCTTTGGGCTTGCCGCTCTCGATGAGAACTCCATACCAAGATAATCGCAGCTTCCACGAACGAAGAAACAGCTCAACACAGTTCATTGACAGGGAAGCTGTTTCATGGACTCTACGGGAACACGAACCGATCGAAATCGCCGCGTTCATTGCGCTCGTCCACCTCGAGCGAAGAGGAGTCACGCTCTTGGCAGATGGCCATCGATCCCGTTCGATGTATGAAGTGTGATCCGCACGTGCTTACCCCGCTAAATCGAGATTTCATCGATTTCGACAGGCTCGCGTGAAGATCTTGAGATGTCTTCCGTCGAACGTATTATTCTTCTCGATCACGGATAGAGATTTCTTGTCAACCCAATAATTGATTAATTCATTAATCGTACACGGAAAAAACGATCTTGCTAAAATACCTATCTAAAAATTCATAAGTAGATACAGATCTGAAAATAATTTTGTTAGACTGTACCATTGAAATAATTATTAAAATAATTTTAATAGTATTATTAAAATAATTATATGCAAAGCGCTTATATTAATTCCTACACCCAAAAAAAAAAAATATTCTGCCATTTAAGGGTTCCGTATTAATGTCAGAGGATTTTCCATTTATATATGATCTCAAGGGAATACTCTACAAAATAAAGGAATTTCGTATAACCCTAAAGGGGATATAGGATTTAGGATTTAGGATTGCGATCCTCTCAATACTAGAAGAATGTCTTGCATGTACTAACATGCACGCGTACTACTGTAGCACGTAAATGACAAACCTCTTCTAACAAGTAAGCGTGCCGCTAGTATTTTGTGTATCCTTTTATTTCAAAAGGTTATTCGAGTTATATTATAATAGAATTTTCTATAGAGGAATTTATTTTTGATCATAGCTCATATGTCCTCATTTTTATAGATGAATACATGTTATAAATACACGTACCTGATTAATGTAAAATTAATGTAAGATTTTTTGCTCAGAGGAAATGCTAAAAGGAATTCTCCGCTTATTGGCAGAATATTTTTTTTGGAGTGTAGAGTACAATGAAAAAAATACTAACTTTTAATAAATATTTATTTGAATAGTTCTAACAATAAGTATATATTTACTAAATACAAACATGTATTTATTTGATACAAAAATCATTAATTTTGTTTAAGTATAATTTATTTATTGAATAAATATTTATTTATTGTAAGTAAATGTTTACTTATTACTATTCAAAAAAATATGTAGTAAATTTTTTTTCAGTGTATCAAAACTTTCTGCAGAATCTGATTAAATTTTTTTAAATATTTCAGCGAAACACCATATTTTTCATATACACGCAAAAAATATTTTGCTGCTCCAGCTAGAATTATAGCTATTTTTTGTATCTGATAAAAAATTATGTATCATACGCATAGAATTTATAGCACAAATCTAAATTCTATCTCTGTCACCTATATGATTAGATGCAATACATATCCAGTATCGTAGTACTTGCTAGAAATTTATCTATTTTAACTATTTTTCGTACTTAGATAATTTTCGCTATAACTGCAAGATCACTTTTTTGAGTGTATGATGTAGACACGTCTGAACAGACATCGCACAAAGCAGTATCTTACGTTTCCGTTGTGAAAATAACCGTTACTTTTCACGCTGAGCGGAAAATTCAGCGCACAAATCGCTGGTTCCTTCCGTCATCACCGATAAATTTTGATTGCTCATTCAGGAGAGCGGATTACGCAACAAGTTACACGGTTCATCGACAGCGAAACAATTTCAGGACGCTTGAGATCGTCGACCTTCTCAGTCTTGACGAAATCTTTTACCTCACGCGATTCATTATGGTGGATCGAATTGATTGACTAATCCTATAAAACACAATATTCTTAGAATGTTATATATGAATATTAAAAAGTCCATTTCTACCAATATGAACCAATATGGATTAATTTTAATCTCCATTTAACATACTTCTTATTCTTTTCTAGCTCTTGGCAGATCAGAAAAAGATGAATAAATTAAACCGAGATTCAAATTAAATTATATATTAGCAGAAATGGACATAAGTGAATCGACCAGTTGGATTGTTTTAAATTTATCACCAGCATCCGATATTTCAAATTTAGCTTTGCACGAATATATTTGAACAAAATTATTTCTTCACTGATTGTGAAATGTGTCGTTTGAAACATCAAAGTGGCATTAATGACAATGAATTGTTTGCAAATCGAGATATCTTGCATTTGTCATCATCATCTAAAAATAACAATTTTAACAGAGATATCTCTAAATAAAGTGTCTATATAAAGTGTCTATAATACTAACAGAAAGTACTCGGAGATTAATGGCAGCAAATCTCTCGCAATTATAAACATTTGCCGTTTCATCTCGACACGATAAATTATGTTTCGCACGTAGCTTATGTTTGATATCTCATGAAGTCTCTTGCAAAGTGTCGGTTACGAATAAATGAACGTATCAAGAGTACGGCGTTTATGATTTTAGCATCAATCGTAAACGGCATCAACTCGTTAAACTTGTATGGAAAACGAGGTATAATTTACAGTTACCTTTGGGCGATTGATAAATTTATTATAGAATTCTATGTGGGTAACTGGTGTGACTTGCCAGAGCAATTAAAAATGGCCGGTTAAGCACGTGTAATGTTCTCTATCAACGATATTTTACAGCAGATTTTATCGACTATTTGAATACAAAATAATACACAGTGTATATCACTGATAGAATGTGTACAAAAAAATGTACACAGTTTAAAGTATCTGTGAGAGAAAGAGACGAAACGGGATGTTCTGACGCATTGCGGATGAACGAATCCTGCAGTTGAGATGTATGACAACACAACCATGTCATGTCAAGGACCGTTAGATGAAACACTGAATGAAAAAAACGTCTATACCATAAAACAGTTCTTTACTTTATATAACAGATCTTTATTTTTAAAGACCGCATTATACGTTTCTACACTTCGCACATTGATGCTAAATTTTCATGATAATTTTCTTTCATTACTTATTACTAAAATATCTATATCGTTAGAAACTTTCTGTACAACTCACTGTTAATTTGCTCGATTTTTATCTTATTTTTTTTATACTGAATTTATATTTCATTGAACATATCGAATTACTTTCGTAGGAAATATTTGTAATATTTAACAGATAAAGGCAGCACGCAGCTTCCTTCACGGATCGTCAATACCGTGATGTAAGAATATAAGGTGTCTCGCTCCTGAGATGCGCAATGTTGATCAATTAGAGAGTTGCAAATGGAAAAAGCAATGTGGTTCCTATGATCTGCGACAGATTAAGTTAAGGCCATCACAAGTAAAAAAGTTTTAATCGTCAGATCATAAGCATATCGATCAATTATGGTTGAGCATTCTGTAATAATCATATTTTTGACTGTAATTGATCGATTTGATTAAGACTTTGCGATTGCGACTAAAATAAAATTTTTTTTCGTGCGATGGTCTTTATATGTTGCCATTTGAGACTAAATTTTGATTGGCTGCTCCGAATTCAGCCCCACTACCATCATGCGCAATGAAACACCTTATATTTTTACATCATGGTCAATATATTCAGTTTCTGATACTGTTGTCAATCAATTACGTACAACTCTGCAAGAACACTAACTTGAACAAAAAGCAAGGATTACTGATTTTCAAGGTAAAAACATGCCTAACGGGGACAATCGATCGAGGAAGAATCGCAATGTGCGAAGATAATGTTCTCTCTCTAGTCTAATTGTTTGACATCATAAATACACTCTAAAAGTTTTAGACAATTTTTTTCGAACTACACATTTATTTTTAAAGACCGATTTTGATGAAGTATTTAAAAATTTAACTAAATACGGATCTAAAAATAATTTTGTAGGACGTCAAAATAATTACATAGGAATCTCAAGCGTGATAAGCAATGCTGCAAAGAATTTTGACAATCTTAACAATCAGTTTGAATGTTCTACATAATTATTTTGATGGTTCAATAAAATTATTTTCGGATCCGTGTCGAGCTAAATTTTTAAATATTTCGTTAAAACCAAGCTTTCCGTGTAACTATAAAAATGTATTAATTTACATTTGGACCACGTGAAATAAAAAGTAACAAAATATTATTTAATTCGCGGAATTGGGTTACCATTGCTTCTTGGCTATTTAATAGCGCAGCGCAACAAATTCAAGCTACCGCGCAGAGATTACTATCCTTATGGGTTTATATCGACACGATTTATAGTAAATGATGCAACCATTAGGAGTTAAGGAAAACCATTCTTTATGTCATATATATATTACGTATTGTTTATCATGCCGTTATATCAGTTTTGGATCTCGCTTTTCTTTAAAGATGGAAATAGTCTTGCAAACTTTTTGTGTAAATCTAAAGAATTTTACACATGGAGTAACACGATCCATCAGTATCTCTACCAAAAAGATCTCCAAGTTTTTTCAACTACGTAAGAGACGCAAGTCATACGGTATCGCGCGTTGTTTACCATGTATACCGTTATAGTTTTGCATCTCGCTTTTCTAGGTAGAAACCTCTTTCAAGTTTTTTTTCTATGGGTGCCTTCCATTTAGTGACACAAGTCGACTTGTCGTCTGTCTTTTTTTTGCATTCCATGAGTAGGGAAAACAAAACGATACTTGTGTCGACTTGTGTTACTAAATGGAAGGCACCCTGTGTACATAAGTCTGAGAATTTTACGCATGGAGTAGCACAATCTATCTGTATCTCTACCGCGCGAAAAGATCGGCAAGCTTTCTCAATCACGTAAGAAACGCAATGTCATACGTGTTACGCGTTGTTTATCATGCTGTTACTGTTTTGCATCTCACTTTTCTGTAAAAGTAGAAACAATCGTGCAAGTTTCCTGTTTAAGTCTCACGAATGTCACGCATGAAGTAGTACAATATATCTATTTATATCTGTACAGAATCGATCTATCTGTACCAGAAAAGCAAGTTTTCTCACCTACGCAAACCGGCGTCTACAATGAGATAAGACGTAAAACTTAGGCGTTAAGTCAGTCGTAAGAAAATGATCAATTATAGATGTCGTTCTCCTCACATTTGACTGTAATTTCTTACTTAAGGTTCCAAGCTTAAGTTTTACACCTTAAAATTTCATTGCAGATGCCGTTTAAGAGACGCAATTACAAGATAAAAAAAGGAAAAAACTCCACGTTTGACTGTAATTGAGCGATTTCTTACTTAAGGTTCCAAGCTTAAGTTTTACACCTTAAAATTTCATTGCAGATGCCGTTTAAGAGACGCAATTACAAGATAAAAAAAAGAAAAAAACTCGTCCACTGACCTTCTCAGAGCGGCGCGCTGCGGGCTGGTCGCCGTGCTGGAAGGCGCGCTGCTGGAAGCACCGCCGAACGAGCTGGAGCACGTCGTGTTGCCGGACGCGGTAGTGTCGCTGGCCGTGGTCGTGGAGCCGAGGCTGCCTTGCCTCGAGGACACCTCGCGATTTCGCGCCCCTCGCGATCTACCGCCGGCG